ATACATCAATAAAACTCATGCAGACGTCCTTCATTCCTGCAAAATGTATATTAAGAAGAGCAATTAAGGTGATCTGGAGTTTGTTCCTGTCATAGTTTGAAATTGGCCCCCTCCAGAGTTTGGGGGCTCAGAGGTGATAGGGTGCAGGGCAGTGCTCCCTGGAGAGCCAGTCACCGTCCCTGGTGTTCACTTCTGCTCAAAATCACACATCACAGCACCAGAAGCTGCTGGCAGTGTTTCTGTCGGTGTCTGCTGCCTGTAGGTGTAGGAGGCCAGGGGCTGGCTGGGCTCCTTCTTTCCCCCTGCGGGGGGAAGGGGAGCCCTGCAGCCCCCCTAACTCTGCCTAGGCCAGAGCTGGAGGCAGCACTGAAGTGAGTGTTTGTGAGGGACGTGACTCACAAACAACTGGTAAGTGGGAGAGAGAGAGGCCCTGTGGCCAGGCCCTCTTCTTCTTCCCCCACCTTTGCAGCCAGGCTGCAGAGCAGGGCTGGTTTTCCCTCTCGCTGTTCAGTGGGAGTGGATGCAAGGCTCAGCATTGGAGCAGAGCCAAGTGGACGGGCTGATAATAAAACAGCTCGGCGCTCGGGAGAAGAATGCCAGGCGAAACTGGAGACGGAGCGGAGAGAGGCCCGGAGGATGTCCCTGCCGTGATTTCAACGCAGGACAGCCCCAAACCCGGAGGAGGGATCGACATTCCAGGACGTGTCCGTTGATAAGCTACCTAACAGCAGCCTATGAACCGGGGTATGAGACTGAGAGAGAGAGATCACACCCCAGACCGAGGAGAAAGGACTCAAAGCTACCTTCTTGGACGTCGGGAGGAGGAAAAACTGCAACAAACAGCTGGAGCTTGGCGAGGGGGGAGCGTTCGGGCCCCAAACACTCCCACGAGGGAGAGACTGGTTACTTCCCAGCCTGAAAAGGCTTCTCCTGGACTAAAGTTAAAGGGAGGGGCTTAAAAGCACTGATAGAAATGTAATATATATATATAGTTGCCTTTAGTTTGTATAGTATTTATTTGTGTAAACAAGTGTATATACTTCCCCCTTCCCCTATAGAAGCCTCTGGTCTGAAAGTTTCTCTCTGGTGATGGGATAAATTGTGGGAATGGGTGGGGGGAAGCCTGAAAATTGGATTTTGGATTTCTAATGTGGCTCAAACTGCCACAGTTCCCTACAGGACCCACACATTATCTTTCCAAAGAGCTGTCTCCAAAGTCAACTTGCGTGGAATGGGCTCACTACAGACCTTGCCTTCTTGTCATCAAGCCAAGGGCTAATTAATGCACCGATCTTGGTCATCATGATACAGTCAAATAAACACACCATGCTGTGCATAATTTAATACTCACAATTACTCAAAATACAAATGCCACGAAATCTCACCAATCTCCATTAAGAAAAAGAGATCAAGAAAGCAATTTCCTAGCTTCTAATTTTCCTGGTCACATACAGTCTAGAGGGAATATAAAAAAGGTAAAAGCCTACAAAGACTGAAAGGCTCTTTTTTTTTTTTTTACAAAAGCTTTACAGGGGAAAAAGCAAACAAACAAAAAGCCCAACCACACACTTCTGCTCTTTTTTCCAAAGGCAGTAAAACTGCTCAGCTTTGCTGAAGTCAATCAAGTTTAATCAACAAAACCAAAGGTTGATTTTGGTTGTAACCCACTTAGAAAATGATGACAACGTTTTAAAAAGCTTCCTCATTAGGTTACTGAGAAAATATTAACATTTGCAAAGCATTTCATTGTGCTTTATTACAGCTCCAAGTGCTACACCAGGGTTCAACTTTGCACATACAGATAGCTTCCAATCAAATTCATGGAAAAACCTTACTTATAGTGAGTGCGATACTCCCCAATCATCCAGCAAGGCTTCAAAGAAAATACAGGAAACTGAACATAAATATTGCTCTATAACATCTCATGTATATTTCTAAAACGTCAGAGCATGAAACAGTTAAATATTATTGTTTTCCATTAAAAACACTCTTTACATGGCAGGGCTATTAAGTTATTTTGGCATGTGCTCCACGTAAAGCAGCTGCTGTACGATGTGTTTTACTTTGTAAAATATCTTTAATCAGCACACTGACTAGTTCTGTCATTTATAATTAAGGAGGTAAATGGCAGGTGCAGCATTAATTAGTGAAATTGAAGTCTCTGTGCAAGACAGGCAGTCATACCAACTTAATGCTTTCTAGGAAGAGAAATGATTGCTAACAGCTTTGTTGTACCACAAACTTGACTGGGTACAACCCAAAAAGGGGCCTTTACAATCTTGTATTGCCAGACTCATTTCTTAAACTCTTCCTTCTAAAGCTAGGAACAGGAAAAGCCTACGCCCTAAGCCATCCTCAGTCTGTGTTTCTGCCTTACAAACGACGGAGGGGCGGGGGCAGAGGTACAGGTCAAGGGACAGGCAAAGTGGTTCTCTTACCTGAAAAGATTTTCCCAGCTAACAGCTAAGAAACTGGCTGGCCCAACATTTGGAGAAATGCCCACACCCATAGTTTAAAAGCAGAGCAACCGTCTTTGCAATCCCTTCCATGGATGTAGGACCACCAGTCCCAAAGTTATCCTCGTAACAATTCTGCGATTGCCACCTGAAGAGGTTGTGGGTTTTTCTGGAGAAGGCCCACAGTCCATGAGTTAAATCTCTCCTCCCTTTCAAAACTGCAGAGGTTATTTTGGCTCGAAGGACTTCTGAAAGGTAGCCTTACAGCTATTTACAAATCTTTAGAGCATACACATTCAGCATGAAGTCCACCCAGACGGGTAACACTTCCAAAGCAGTAGTTGCCCTCAGCATCAGTAGTGCTGGGTCATGGGCAGACCACAGCCCAGGGTGGTGCATCCACCATCTCCCTGTTCACCTGTTCTGCAGAGTCCCCAGGCACCACCTCAGCATGCACAAAAACAAGAGTATTGGGTGAGACTGAAATAATTACAGTGTTCACGGTCACATTTGTAAACTAATAGTCTGCTCCTCTCCAAGCAAACGCTCTCAGACACTGTTGGCCTTGGCCAAACTAACACTGCAGCTCAAAAGGAGCCAAGAAGCTCCACTGTTGCATTACTTCAAGGCAAAAGGATTAACCCTTCAGATTGACACATTACCCAAGCTACGCTTTGGAAGCAACTCAAATACGAGTTTTTCAGAAGTGAAAGCACAACAGTACATCAAACAACACATTTAGTAATACAGTAGTAGTAAAACAGTAGCAAAGAGCCTTCTGCATTACTTTTAAGAGAATCTACGCATTTCTGCCTAAATTCACATCACAGATTCCCACATCTGTCTTAAACAGAAAGCAACTTAAACAGCTGGCAATGCAACTCCACCCTGCACTGTGAACTAGAAGACCAGCTGTAGACCTCTGTAAAATACCAACCTCACAAATACCACACAAGGCATAGAACTGATTTGTTCAGTGGACAGTGCCTTCCACGTGCACAAAGTAAGCCCTTCCAAGGCAAACTCTGGTAGACAAACTGCAGCAGATGGAAGGCAAACTTATTTGTGTTTTTCTTTCAGTGCTAATTTTGAATTAAAATTGGGCCTTCTGGGAAGGAACACAATCCCTGGCTGTGTGCAGTACCCCCTGCCAACCAACCTATGAAGCAGAACTGCTGCTGACTCACAAATGAGTTGTTCATCCATCCTCCTGACAAGCAGAAAAAGTACATGACCATGGCTGACAGAAGAGAAAACAAGATTCAAACAGAGGAATTCAGGAAGGGTAAAGAGGAGCTTTTAGGAAACAACGATGCTGTGATAAAGACCATTTGTTATACTCTGCAAGAAGACACTATGACAATAAACCACTTTTAACCAGACTTGTAATTCTGTAAATGGACAGATAACAAGTGCAGCACAAACAAATCAAAAAGGCCACTAGTTATAAACACCACAATGTTTTCTTTGAAAATGCAAAATGAGATGCTGGCATTTCAATAATATTTTTAAGCTTTTTCATATTAGGCATAATCAATGTGGGTATGAAACAGCTGATTTGAACCAGCAGAAGAGAACTTAGGGGGAGGAAAAAACTTTGTCTGTAAGTGGGAACAAGCATCAGGAGGGAACAGACTTCAGTGTGCACATGGGTGCTACAGAACCTGCTCTCCCAGACAGGTGCAGCTCTCAGCTACAATATTTCAGACAGCAGTATTCACATTTTTACACCATCACAATTTCAGTCCCCAGGCAAGTCTAAGACAGCAATATTCATACAAACTCTCTGACAAGACAGAAGCCATGCCCTGCCATATGGTCTGGCACAGTTCAGCACATAGGATTGCTCACAACTGTTTTCCTTTTCCCAAAAATTAGCACTGAAATATAAGTGATAGCTTCAATTAGAAGAGAAGCAGCCTGTCAAAATATTAAATTAGAAGTAATCCAATGTTCTGAGACAATGCAGACAACACAAAAAATTACAGTTTGGTAGAGGGTGTAAACACAATTAAGACTGAGAAAATAAATGAACACATACATAAATCAATTCCTCCACTATTATGGCATTGTGCAATATTTACTACCAAGGTGGACAGAGAGATGTTTATGGCATACTCATGGAATAGAAGTAAAATCACATTCCCCAGTCTGTGAGTTCATATAAAGAAGTATCAAAGAGGCTACATTCTGCCATTCAAAAAGCTTCATCAGCACAGGCTGCTGCAAACTGGTAAAGCAGCTTCAAAAAGCCTGCTTTTATTATTTAACTTGTTGGGGCTTAACACAAGATAATGACTTTCTTTATGGTTCACCTTCTCTCATAGATACCATGAGATTCATGGAATTTTAAAGGTATTATTTCCCACATGGTGAGGGATCATATGATCAATACCAACTGATTCTGGTTTGCATCTTTGTAGGTACATATCACTACAATTCACTCTGCATGATTTGGGGGAATCTGATTAAATGATAAAAGCATTGCAGCCCTACAGACAGTTGCTCAGATACATTGGAATGCAGTTAAAAGACAGGTCTTACTTTCCCATCCAAACAGCATAGCTTTCAGGGAGTTGTGGAACAAAAAGCATGGATCTTCCAGTATCAACATCTACTGCTCCAAAGCAGCCTGCTTCAGTTACTCCAAAAGTCCAGTGAAAGTAAGATTCCTAGGTTAAAACAAATATATTCTTAGAAGAAAAACCTCACTTCTACACTCTAAAAATACACTAAAGTACATAGTAATTCCTGCTTCCATGTATCTAAAAGAGGTCTCTCTTGCTTTTGGAGGGGCAGAAGTGGTTTAGCTCTAAACCTTTTCAGATTAATTAGTTTTAGGTTAGAATAATACAAATCTCTCTGTCAGAGATTAATAAACCACCCTAAGAAATAAACAGCACAATAAACATACACCACACATTAAAATACATTCTTCCAATCTAGAATTAGGGAATGTATGATCAGGGAGAAACAATCACATCACAAGAGACAAAGCAAAAGCAGAGAGCAGCTTCAGTGGGTTGTGAAGGCAGAGTGCTGAAGTGAAAACTCAGCCTTCCCCAGAGAAGAGGAAGCTGCACTAGGAACAGCCTTTAGCCAAGAATTATTTGAACAACAAGCAAGCCAAGAAAAAAACACCTAACAATACAAAATGAATTTTGGCAAGGACAGACATAGGCTCTAGTACCCCGAAAGGTGCATCTCCTCTAAAACCAGAGCAATAAATACATTAAAATATGTGCTATCTAAATTAGAATTTGCTGGGTTTGTTTCTTCATAACATACAACAGCTCAATTAAATGCACAAAACAAAGTGCTGTAGCAGTCACACCGAGTATGGGATATGCATAATTAGAGTTCTGTTACGCCAACATCCCCAGATCTTGTTAAGTCCTATTTGTGACAGAACACATGGACACTTAAGGAAGAATCTAATTTGTTGTAAATTCCAAGATATATGCTGTTTTGTGGAATATACTAGTATAAAAACATGAAATATGCTTTTCTATTAATTAATTCAGCTTAGGCCCACTGTAACACATTTCATTACGGAAAGAAGGTTGCTTTTCAGGTCACAGACAAGACTGAAAAAATGAAGAAATATTCCGCTGCTGTCTTCAAGATTAAGATTTAAACACTGATGAGCAGTAAGGCCTTGAACAGGTTTAGGCCCCTTAAACCAGAAAATGAGCCTGCCCACTAAAGCACTGAAAGAGAGAGTAACTCAAAGCTGAAGAGGAAATGTTATAAAGAAGCCAATTTGTTTAAGTGGACGAGACAATGCACAACTGGAAGACAAAGGGAGAATAATTTAAAATCATTTTTAAACTCATGCAGTTGAAGAAAGTTTCTTAATTTGAAGTTTTGATTCAGCTCTTACCTGGCGAAACACAATTCCAGTGTCAGTACAGTATCTCTGGGTTTCCTCCCCACCCTGCAGCAGAACAACTGAATTCTTCTGGACATCCTTGTTCTGTCTCAGCCGTTCACACAGTCGTCTTCTGTTCAAGGCAAAGAGTGCTAAAGGCACTCTCAAGGTCTCATTCCCCAGCCAAAAGGAGGGTCTAGAAGAGAATTTTTTAATGGACAATTAATGGAAGACAAAGACAGCGGTTAGCACAGTTCAGATGCACAGTGTTCATTTCTTCAGTGTAGTTCAGCTCTACAAACAAGAGGCTAATCACAGGGAAGAGATGCTCTATGCAAGCATCTGCTCAAGAGACAATCAAACATTGCTCACACAAGCACCAGAGGAAAAAGATGGCAACAGGAGACAAAGCTGGCTGCAGCTGCAGTCCACAGCAAGATTTGAGTCCAGTTTGTCCCTCTACCTCAGCTTCTTGAAGAGTGACTGACTGGATGGGGGTTTTCTACCACACAGGCTTCTAAGAGGAGATGACAGAAAGGGGCAGCTGAATTGTTACTGTGTTAAGGTGACAAGAAGTGAACCAACCACCAAGGGTCTTAACCTTAGAGGAGCAGAGCTCCACATCTTAATTATTATATAGCTTCCATAACCAATCTGAAAGTAACCTTTGATTTATAGCTGCATGACCTCCTGAAAGACTTTATCAACCTCAGAATTGTAAACCCTATAATTTCCTACTGCCAGCATAAAGGAGCTAATAAAATATTTTATTTTACTTATTTATAACTACTTGATAAAACAGCATAGGTAATTTTAGAAGGTGAAAGACTGCTCTTGCTAATCCAATTTGCTGATGGTGCATGAAACCTATATGTGTTTAGTTTTGTTCTTTCCCACACACACCTGATAACCCAGCACCAAGGCAGGTGATCATTACAAGGGCTGCAGACTACCTACTGCAGCACAGCTTGGAAGCACAGCACAAACTTTCATTTTCGGGTACCTATGGCTGTAGAAAGGAGGAAGCAAGTTCATACAATCCTAGCAAAAGCTACTGAAAGTTTTAAATCAGAGAGTGAACCTTAGACTAAAAATAGGCAAGGCTTTTCAGGTACAAAGGTGTGGTCCAGTAACTCAGCAGCGCACAAGAGGCTGAAAACGCTGTTATCCAAACACGATCATCCCCTGGAGTTACAAGATGCAGGGGCCTGGAAATCATTTGCTCATCCTATGGGACATTCATAAAAGGGATGAGAGAACATCATCAGATACCCTTATGTCATATGTTACTCTCAGATCTTTGTACCTGCTGATAAAAAGAAAAAAAAGGCAGAGGTTGTAGCACAACCTGTCTCATGTTTTGCTTCAAAGGAAGGAAAAAAGTCACCTTCATTGCAATTTTACCCACTTCACAAGTTTGAGATCTTTTTCTGTGATTTAAAAAAAAAAAAAAAAAAGAAAAAAGAAAACGAGAAAATTCTGACCTCTCTCCTCTAGGCCTACTCCTACATCCTAGAGCTCATAGGAAGCTGCTACAAAGGCACATTTTCATCTCCCTTAAGTCTACTATTAATGCTTTTATTACGCTTAAAACCTTTGACAATCAAAATGAGAGTCAAGGAGAAATAATTATGCCAGGCAGCAATTCCTACTGGTAGCCCCACTAAGCCACTCTAAGCATGCCTTTTACTGGGACCTTAATGCTAGAGCTGAAATGCATTCTGGTGCAAAATGGTGGTTTTCTGCACATTTCCTCTAAGCCCACAGCAAGTGTGTTCTTCCTTGGGCATAACAGATCTCACCTTCCCCGTCTGAATGTGCTGCCACAATATTAATCCACAGCACAATGTGGCCTCTGCAGTTCTAGACTGGCAGAGGTTTTTAGGGGCACGGCCTTGGGCTCTGTTTTAGGGCTGCTGTAGCAGTCACAGTGGCTGAGCATGCTGGACCCCACAGCAAGGACTCTGGGACCTGAGGGCTGGGCTGAGTCTCGCTGCAAATCTTGCTCTTAATTCATACCTTGGACAGCACAGGCTTGTCAGGCAACACACCTACTTTCACAACTGAAATTCTGCAAAGAAAACCAGCTAAGTTTCAGAGAGAAATTGAACTTAGCAAACTTTGCTTCCTCCACAGCTTTTGTTCTCTCTTTCCTCCTGCAAGCACCCAGATACCAAACTGAGGGCACCCTCATGGATGCACTGCCAACACGGCAGGACACCCACAGGTGCTGCTTTGCCTGCAGAGATTGGGTCACTAGACACAAATGAACCAAGCACGAGCTTCCCACAGCTTACACAGAGAGCTCTTTCCAGAGACGAGACTGAGAGAGGAACTCAAGTCTTACAAGAAGGAGTATGGCTGTACGCCTGGCTTTCCACCACAAATAATCTGGGAAGAGAACCCTCACAGTACTCAAGATCACAAGAAAAAAACTTCACACTAAGGACTGGCTGTGTAACCACCTGCAGTAAGTGGGTAGGTGTATGTAATTGCTTCACACATGTATCAACCCTGTACCTTACACATGCAGGTACAGTGTAGGCAGTGTACAACTATGTTATTTGCCTGCTAACAATACTGCCACAAAACTCTACCTAGAGAAGGAACTACAAGCTTTCCATGTTGGTCTGTGATCTCTAATCACTCAGCTATATCACACAAGACACACAAATCACAGAATCTTAGAATGGTTTGGGTTGGAAGGGACTTTGAAGACCATCTGGCTCCAAGCCCCTGCCATAGGCAGGGACGCCTTCTAGACCAGGTTGAGCAAGGCCTTATCCAACCTGGCTTTGAACACTGCCAGGGTTGGGTCACCCACAACCCCCCTGGGCGATCTGTTCAACGTCTCACCACTCTCACAGTAAAGAACTTCTTCCTAATATCCAGCCTAAATTTCCCCTCTTTCAGTTTGTACCCATTACTCCCTGTCCTATCACTACAATTCCTAATGAACAGTCTCTCTTCAGCTTCCCTGTAGGACCCTTCAGATACTGGAAGGTGCTGTGAGGTCTCCACGCAACCTTCTCTTCTCCAGGTTGAACAGCCCCACCTTTCTCAGCTTGTCTTCTCAGGGGAGGTGCTCCAGTCCTCTGATCAACTTCGTGGCCTCCTCTGGACTTGCCCCCCCAGAATTATCAGAATTGAATGAACTGGCTGGTCCTTCAAGGTCGGTTTCCAAGGTCTCCAGCATCTCCAGCCACAAACAACTCAGAGCTCTCCTGCAGAGTTACACATTTGATAGCGAAGTGTATTTGATACAAGCACTGCTTTGTGCTGCAGGCCTCCAGGAAGCTTCTGCAAATAAGCCTTAGTCAGCATCACAAGTGGCTACTTGCAAGACCAGGACAGGACAAGAAAAGCTCAGCTTCCTCCTTTTCTCCAGTCTGGTTCAACAACTGCTCAGTCTGATAAAGGCCTCCCACAGTAGCTGACAGTTTCCTGCTGGCTGCCACACACAATTTTTATGATCACTTAGGCCCAAGCTCACAGAAGAGCTCTTTTATTTTATTACAGTGGAAGTGAAATGTGGCTAGGAACATTAAACTACATCTGCTTCTTTACAGGATATTTTTCTTTTGCCTGGAACTGCTGATTTTCAATGCTTATTTCAGAAGTTTTATATCTTCAGAGAGCTTACATTTTGGCACTGTATGATCCATCTAACATTTTGGATTTGTTGCAATGCAACCACCAGAACACACTGGTAACCAAAAACCCTATTTTATTTCTGGTTTTCCTACCCTTTCTCAGTTAACCTTTTGTACTTCTGGTTCTTTTCAGCAGAAAATTCATGGAACGGCCATTTCTCTTCTACTGAGGTCCCACAGACAGGATGCAGATTTCAATGAGGATGAGAAACCACTGAAACTACTTTTCAACGAGTTATCACTTGTTTGTTGACTGGGCCTTACTTGTTTGTTTGTTTTGAGTAACAGATTTATCAACATCAGCCTGAAGCCTTGACAATTTCCAATGCTGTTCCCACACCAAATACCTGAAGCTCAAGAGGCCTACACTTAGCAGCAGCACAGGCACAAGCAAACGGACGATACAACGAAGCAGTAAAAGCAATTAGTGCTGTTCAAGACGTGAAATGGATGTTGTCTTCACGGCAAACTCAGCGCTCCTTGTGCGGTCGGCTGTGGAAGTCTCAGAGCCTCCTCACGCCCCAGTCCCGGTTCGATCCAGGGATGCAGGAGCATCCCTGCCCAGGGAACGCCTGATCAGCGCTGGGGGAACCCTGGGCCAGGAGGGGACCCCACCGGGAGGCGACCTGTCCCCAGAGACACCGTCAGAGCCCAGTCCCAGACCCGGCTTTGGCAGCCACGAGAAGTTACCCCCTCATTTTGATAAGAGTTTTTAATGGCACCTTCCTACAGCACTGGAAGAAATGGCTGAATTCAGGTATAAAATGCGGGAGAGCCCTCCTGCTATGCAATCCAAGCCAGCTTTAAGCGTCACTTCCAAACCTAACAGAACCGAAAGGATAACCCACGGCTCGGGAGAAGGCGCTGCGAGCCGACCCGGCGGGGCAAGGGGGGCCCGTGGGACCCTCCACAGCTCTCCCCGCCCCGCGCAAAACCCGAAATCCTTTCGGGGACCCGCCGCTGCAGCGCGGGCAGCCCGGCCGGCCCTGCAGGCTGCCCGGCCCCAGCCTGTGCCCGCCGGCCGGGGCACCCCCGACCCGTCCTCACCCCTGCGAGACCCCGCCGGGCCGGGCCGAGCCAGGAGCAGGGAGAGGGGAGCGGGGGCAGCCGGGCTGGGAGCGGGGCGCACTTGCCGTGCCGGGAGCGGGGAGAGGGGAGCGGGGAGCGGGGAGCGGGAGGCAGGGATCGGGGATCGGGACGCGGGGCGCACTCACCCCGCAGCCGCGGCCATGTTCGCTCCCGGCGCCGCCGTCACGTGACGGCAGCACCGCCTCGGCGCGGGGGGACGGGCGGGGCGGGGAGAGGCAGGGGTACGGACACGGACACACGGACACGGACACACGGACACACCGCTCTGTGCCCCGGGTGGGCATGGACATGGACAGGGGCACACCGCTCTGACCCCCCCAGCTGGGCACGGACACACCGCTCTGTCCCCGGGGCTCACACACCGCTCTGTCCCCGGGGCTCACACACCGCTCTGTCCCCGGGCACGGACACACCGCTCTGTCCCCGGGGCTCACACACCGCTCTGACCCCGGGGCTCACACCCCGCTCTGTCCCCGGGGCTCACACACCGCTCTGTCCCCGGGACTCACACCCCGCTCTGTCCCCGGGACTCACACCCCGCTCTGTCCCCGGGGCTCACACACCGCTCTGACCCCCGGGCCGGGGCTCCCCACCCGCCTTCAGCCACAGATCGGTGATGGGACAGGCCCTGGGCCGGCGCTCCCTGTTTCTGGACGGGTGACATCCTTCGGGATGCTCTGCAGCGGCCCCGACCCCTCACCTCGTGCGCTGGCTTCTTGTACACCAAAAAATTACAGTCATGGAAGCCAAGAGCTGCGTAATGTAAATACAGCCTCTCACAGGGATTGCTGTCTCACCTCTGGACCTCCCCTAAATAAACAGTTGCTCAAAAACCCGTGTAACGCGCCGTCCTGCTGTAAGCCCTGGAAGAGACGCTTTCCACCTGCACGTCGAAGAGGAGGAGGGTTTCACGGCAGCCTTAGGGCACGGTGTGCCGGAGCCATCGCCAGCCCCTGGGCTCGCCCCACTCTGCCGTGTTTCGCTCCTGTTCACACAGATTTCTTCAGAACTTGAAGTGACTTATTCTTGCCTCAAAATTATAAGATTTACCTGAAGAAACCATCATAGGGCAGGGTTCATGTGCCCAGTAACTCATACAGCCGCAAAAGGAAATAAATACCCAGGAGCATGAAAGACCAGATAAGGAGTGAGAGACTGGAGCTCTGCTCTGTGACCTGAATACAGTGTCCGCTGCTCTGTGCCTCGTAAAGCAGCGATAAGTACAGCTCTGAGCTGGCAGGTATCCCTCCCTCCCTGGAAAGAAAGCCTCAGTCCTCACTCTGCTGCTCCTCAGCAATGCCACTGCTCTGTTGGGCTGGCACTGATCTCAAAAGCAAGTGCTGTGATACGTGAAATATTTGGCTACTGCGCATGGAGAGTCTGCTTCGACCACAGAGCTCAGGGAAGACAGGAATGCAGGGCACTGAGAAGAGGGGGCAGAGGACAATCATAAAATACATGTAGCTTCAAGTTCCTGCTTGTTATGACAGATCAGTGCAACGGTACTAAGAAATGTGCATGATTACAATCTTTCTTTTGATTGGCCAAATTGTCCTCTAGAAGTTGGGAGAAAAGTGCAGCTACTCAGGCACAGCTGGCTCTGAAGTGATGTGTGAAAGCTGCAGTGCAGGCACAAGCAAAGATTGATTTCAGGAAGTCTGGAGAGGAGCGTGTTGATTAATAAAATTAGAAAAGCCAAGTGGTGTTCATTTAGCTCTTTATGTTTTTATGTCCAAAGGTCAGAGACCTTTAGTACAAAATATATAGTGAAATAATCAAAAGCTTCTTTCATGAACTGCACATTTGACAAGTAACAATACTTACTTTGGGCTCCAAATTCATGGATAAAGCCCCATTTTAGACATAATTGATAGGCTGTTGAATTTCAAGAACCTTCCTTCAGTTTATGCAGCCTGGAAAAAAAAACTTAATGTGAACTGTAGCAAAATATTTTACCACTTTAAGTTCCCTAGTGGTGCTCCCTTCTGCTTAGGCTCCAGCAGAATCACTGGGAGGAGGCAGGGATGCTCATTTTGCTTTTCCTTCTCCTGTCACGAATAGGGAGAAAAGACTAAAGCCTTCAAGGCACTCTTCCAAATACTGTCATTAGTGGCTTCGGGCATTCATCCTTCCCTGCTCCCCTTTGCATACCCCTACACTTGTCCTCTGTAATGTACATTGTAGTATCTGATCTCTAAAATGGGTTTTCTCTGTCCTGTTTATTTCAATTTCCTCACCTCTTTCCCTTGGTCATTTAACCTGCCTTCCAAACACAATCACCAGATTTAGAAGTTACCTGCAGAGTATTAAATCTCAGCAGAAAATAAGACTACATTCAGTGGGGGAGGGGGAGTTTTTATGTTGTTTATTACCTAAAATACCCTGTTCTCATGTCTCAGGATTTAAAATAATGGAACTTCTGCACTGTGCACAAATGAAACTCATTTGCAAGGAGGCTGAACCGGCAGCCAGCTGAAATGCCAGCCACAGGAATGATACTGGCTGCCAGACTGGGAGCAAGACCAGCTTTATTGCACACATAGATAATTCTCATTCTCTCTGCGCTGCATTTGACTCTGCAACTGAGATAATGCAGGGGTAGACCTTAATATCTGAGAGGCTAGTTTAGAGCAGTTCCCTCTACACTAAGGTTTGACTGTCACTTATCTCCCAGCAGGAGTTCACTCTGTGATCAAGAACACCCTCTCTGAGGCTGAATGCCAGATTTTGCACTTGTGGCAGCTTCAGAATTCCCACTGTAGCTGTTTGGACATAAAAGAGATGCAACACTGCAACATGTGATGGGATGGAATTCTGCACTGGCCCTCTGTATTTTACCTGTTCATACTGCTGTCCAGGCAGGATCCAAAGAGTTCAGCACCATCAGTGCTGAGTGCTTCTGTTATCTTAGCTGAAAAGAAATAATGTTAGGTTAATAAACCTTCTTTTTATTATACAAAAATAACACAACTGTTGTGAATACAGGTCAAGGCATGTTCTCCTGGTTTTAGGGTCCGATAGATGAAAATCCAAAGCCACACTGAGAACATGGGACCACGGTAAGAAATCTGGAGCTGCCAATACCATGATATGAAGTGGGGAATAGGGTCTGATGAGTGACTAAAGTCACCCTCCCTTATCTGGATATATGATTTCACTACAAGTTTCAACTGATTTCCTAAATATCTAGAAAGTTTCCATACTATATGTAGCACCACAAAAACAGAAATAATGGGAAATGCTGATTTATCAGCACAGAAGTTTTTCTAAGTTCGATTGGATCTGTGTTTCTGCTGAATATTCCTCAAAACTTTTGGAAGGTAGAACACTGCTGGCTGAAATGCTCTGTGACCTTCTTCGCTTGCATGGGGGAGCACTGGCTAAGCAAAGAACAACAGGTAGATTTTGTAGGTATTTGAGTAAAAGTATTTTATTCATTATAGGGTCAGCTGTTAGTCCAAAGTAATTACACAGTTTGCTGTGTTAAAATGTGTTAATACTGTGGGGTTTTTTAATAGAATCACTACACATGGACCCCTAGCTGCCTTTGTTTGATACAGTGGCCACAAGTCTTTAATGTGGAATTGAGATTACAAGGTCCCTTCAAAGTAACAGATTGAACAAAAGCATCTGCCTTTAGCATTTTCATCATGAAACAATTTTGAGTTAATTTTCCCTGAAGCACTAAATGTATACTGCTGTATTGATCTTTTGGATCTTGAAATAAAAGTGTGATTTTCCCAAAGCCTGCTTGAACTAAATTATTATAAAAGACAAGAAAGGTAAAGCATTACATTGCCTCATTACTCTCACCATTGACTTTCACTTCAGAGTAAGAAAATCTAGTATATTCAAAGTGTGCCCATCAAGGATCAGACAGTCTAAGGGGGCTTCTCCAGAGATTGATTGATCTTCAGAAAATGTTATAATTTTTGAGGTTTTTGGGATTTTTTTAGGTTCCTTAGTATAGACTGTAATTGTTTCATTTAAATCAGTCTGCCCACCAGTATTTATAAGTTGCTGCCACAGAAACTACTGTCTCATCAAAATGTATTAAAACAGCACTATCAAAACTGCTTGGAAGACTTCTTTGTGGGAGGTTTGGTTTGTCAGGTTTATTTAATAATCAGTGGCCAACGTGGTGTTCTCTGTCATGTTTCTCTAATATCTCTGGCTGCTTGAAAGAATCAATTTTTGTATATTGCAACATATTGGTTTGCTTCAATAAAAGGAGACTCCTCAATGATTTGCAGTCTGTTTGCTCATATATTGTGTTTTTTGCTAACCCACGGGCCAGGAAGGCACAGTTTTTGTCTGTCTGTGTGTCCTTTGCACAGTGCCCAGCACCATGGCTCCTTTCTGTTTTTCTGAGGGTTGTGTGCCCTTGTACTGCATAAAAAATGTGCTGTGTGATGTGAGTGCAGTTCAGTCATGGCCAATTGCCAGGTATAAGAGATAAGCCACTATCCTGTGTTTCCTTTTTTATAACCATTACTAGTTAGAATGGTGGATGGACATTTTTGTTCCTTCTAAGTAAGTTTTAACAAAAGTGAAATTTTGCTATGGGAGGTTTAGGAGATGAATGTAGTAAGAATCACTGGAGCCACCACCCCAACAGCATCACTGAAGTTGCAGGAGACACCACATCTGGGAACAAAATTCCTTTACATTACTCATGATTTATTTCCTCAGCATTTCTCACTTCCAAATGCACAGCCTTTTTCTACAAAGAGAGTGGCTCACTGGCTGTATTTTCAAAGGCACAACCAAAGGAGCTTTGCACTATCTGCTAGAGTAGAAGTGTGGAAAGAGGCTGGTCAAGCTTCTGTTCTGTGTTACAGAAAATTTCTCTAGCCAGCATATATGAACATATGACCATTTGTACAATGGGAAAGCATCACTTCTCATGCAAGTTCCCTGTGGTACCACAAATTTACCTCAACCCTTGCAATATATTGTGCAGTTATAATATAGAAGATGTTTACAAGTCTTATTTTTTCTTTCATTACTGTCTGCATAATATACTCTCCACCCAGTGCATAACAAATCCCCAAACAAGCTTATAATATGCTTATGTAAATAATTTCTCAAAACAGTAATGCCTCCAGGTTTTTGCAGATTATGATCCATATCTTCACACTGATTTAAAGTCAGATTTCCCACTTTTTTGGTAAGAAAATCCTCTTTAATTATTGTTTATATAGAATGTATTTTCCACTCTGAGATCTTGCATTAAAATTTTAAGCCACTGGTTTATCAAGATCTGCATTTTGTTTATGATGAAGAAATTGCTTTCTCTTACACGGACATATTAGAATTGTCTGAAATTAGTTCTTTCAGGCTTTGCAGAGGCAACATTTCTTTTTTCTGCTTGAAACAGTCCTGCCCTCCTTGCTAGGAAAGGAAGACATGCCTCTTGTGATGCTGCCCTCTAATGCCGGGAACCACTGCTCCTGCAGCTCTGCCTTTCTCGGGCTGTGTGGTGTGACAACAGTCGGTGCAGGGATGGCAGCGAGGTTGCCATGGAACCGTGTCTGCCACCACAGGAACTCGGTGGTGCAGCCGTTCCTGGCCAAAAGTCATCAGTGCTCCTGCCCCAAAGTGTCTCCCAGGGTTGGCCCTCAGTGCCAACTGCAGATGATGAAATAAATTACTTCCTTTTCCTACAAACCACTCATCTAATCTCCTCTGCATCTGACTGGAAATTTAACCCAGCTGGCTCCTGCCTTCAATTTAAACCCCAGAAAACCCCAAGTGATAAGCAACTGGCCATCAGATTATCTAATCACAGTTTATGTCCTGGGACTGCAGCACTGGTTCAGTTTGGTCAGACCACTTGCACTCCCCAGTGTCCAAAGCCCACTCCCATGAGCAAGCTTTAAACCTGGGAGCTTAGGAAGGAACAGGGGGATTGTGTAATAACATCCTAGAGGACAGAGAAGATAAAGAACAAGAGCTTGTGAATCAGGGAATTCAGTTATCTTTTGAACTGTAAAAAATGGCTATTTTATACAACTGCTGTCTCCTCAAAAGACAACGCACAGTCTCTCTCCAAGCAGTGGAAACTGTGCCAAAAGCAGGGAGTTCACTAAGGGTGTTATCCGTCTCTTTGCCTTTTAATGAATCAACTGACTAACACTTATTTTTTAAACGGGTCATAGTTACAGGCACTTTTCAAAACCTACCAATTTGATAAGAGTATGACTCAGTTTATTGTAGAGACAGCCCTCATTTGCAGTGTGCAGCTGTCCTCCAGGTGCCTTGTGCTGGCACCTCCCTGCACAAGTCACACTGGGCACAGGTATCTACAAAGTGACTTGGATGCACGCGTGGAAATGAGGCTCAAGGAGAGTCAAAGTGGGCAACAAAACTGATATTTACTGTCACCATCTTCTGCTGCCCAGCCTCTGAATTCAAATCTCATTGTCAGTTTTTAACCTCGCAGTTATGAATGTAGAGGTGATGGTTACCTGCCGTCTCAAAAAAACTGTGTTGCTAAACCACCCTTCGGTTCTGCACAAGTTTAAACTACTGTGAGGACAGTTTCCCTTGGTTCCCATCAGCACTAGCAGTGTTAATGTCATTTGTGCTAAGGAGATTCAGAAAGGAAGCTCAAAGAATGTGTGTGGTTTAACTGTGTGTGTGTGGTATTTCCAAGCATCCTATGTTTCAGGTGGCATCTGTCTGCATCCTTGAAAAGAAAAAGGCTCATACAATTCCACTGATGTGGTGCTACAGCTGTGCCGTTTTTTCTGCCTTAAGCCCTGACAGGCATCTTTGTTTGTTTGTATGCAGAGACCCTGTTTGAACTGTTGCCTGGTGTCCTTGCTTTGTATGCTGGCAGGAGAGGTGATTTTTGTTTTGTTTTGTTTTGTTTTCATTTTCAGAAAAAGTGGTAACTTTTTTTGCATCTATTACTGTTGGCAGCCATAACTCTTCTAGTCCAGGCTCACATCATATGATGGCCAGAGATAAAGGCTTCAGCTTCAGAAAATAATGTGGGTTCTCACTGAGTCCCAGAACTGGGGAGATGCCAATCAGCAGCAAAGTGCAGGCTTCGCCCTGGGCTGCTGCTGTTAGCAGGCAGCCTGCTGTCCTCCAGACCCAGCTTCCTTCTCAGTGATAACATTTAGGGCTTTACCGTGAATATCAGGAGGTATAAGGCAGGTACAATCCAGAACAGTTCCAATATTAAATGTGACGTGACAGTGCTAATTTAGGACCTGGCCTTGTGCATTTAATTCCTGCTGATTGAATGTTCTAACTGTGCAGCAGCCCTTTCGTGATAACACCTTTCCTCTTGTATGGAGTAAGGGCAGAAAAGAAACAACATTGCTGCTTTCCCAAGGGGTAATTTTCACTTGTTTCCAAAGAAATAACCGACAGAGAAGGTGAAACCTCTTCTGGCTCAGGCTTCTTTCTGGAATCCCACCTTAGGGCATTTTGGTACCGTCCACCAGCTCATCAGCAGCTCCAGGCTGCACACAGCTCTCCCTCGCTGTGTGAGGTTTTCCCAGTTTCACTCTTCTGCAGCAAGAATGGGAAAACAAATCTCTGAGCCACACCACAAAGCGGGCCCAGTGACAGGCTGACTAATGGTGCTTTGACAACATCCAATAGATTTTATAGAGATTAAGGTCTCGTCAGAAATTTGTCAGCAGTAGTTTAGGAAATACTTGCGGAAGATTTGCAGAGTGAAGAGCTCTGTGGGTGTTTGCTGTTTGGCTATCTACATAAACAAACAGCTGGTGCAGCTGGAATAAAATCAGCAAAGTTGTTACCAATTTAGATTCTTCGGGCATGTCTCTGCTCCAGGCACCGAAATGACTGTACTGGAGCATACTGGTACCCCAGCTATTTTTAAACTACCTAGCTTGGTCCTGGAGGAAGTTCAGCTACAGTAGCACAGAG